CGGGATAATAAAGATGAATGCGAAAACTACTAGAGTTTCTATATTGAAACAGAACTGCCTAATGATATGACACTGAGACCAATATTTGAGGGACCTAATTATTTTCTCTATGTTAAGAACAAGGCATTCATTGCTGACACGTAATATAAGGACAGCATACATTGCTAGACAAGTTGGCTATATAAGTGACCTCATCGTATAGGGTAATTTTGTGCTGCAATAATGTACGAAATGTCAGTCCTTTGTGTAAAAGCGCCAAACCCTTTCCATATTCATAAGAAATCTTTACCAAAAATATATTTGTCACTGATGCGTCAAAATTGGAAATGTCCACCACATGTCTATCATAAAACATTCATAAAGGTTTACTGATGCCTTGAATGTTGCAACCTTGGTCAAACAACTTCTGAGCAAGAGTATTCTGAGCAAGAGTTGTATGATGCTCTTTGAAATCCTGGCAGAAAGCGCATGCTCAATTGTATCTCAAGAGTTGTGACATGTACACACCAAAGGCTGGAGTTCCTGGCATATTGTTCGATATAAAGGGAAAGTTAATTCTTGGAAAGTCATTCCTCTTATCATACAGTCTTGTGGAGAGTGTTTTGTCACTGAATGGTTATTCATAGATCTAAATATGAAACAGATGAGGCGGTCTCACTGGTTTCCTTATTTCTAGTTCAGGTGGGTAAATCAGTGGGTGTTTGGTGGCTATTGAACGATATCAGATCCTCGATATACCTGAAGCTTTAGCTAAACTTATAGAAAACGTCTCACATTCCAATTGTCTGAAATTTCTTCTTAAAATGACTTTTGTCGAACCTTTTCCTGAATAGTTAAAGACACATTCCGCATGTTTCAGCCGGATAACGGCCCGTGTTGTTTGTAAACTGTTTGCCATGCTTAATTATGGCACAGAATGAAAATATTGAAATATCTTGTTTATTTTGAAATTCAATTTTAATCAATCTCCCGAGCAATGCCTTTTAGTATTTGTCACTTCAAAACTAGTTTTAAAACGGAAACTGCGTTTATAAACAACATGAAATTAAAACATTGTTGCCATCATAAAGGATAAATAGAGAACTTCCAGTTATTGGCGTCATTAATAAAACAACTATGGCATTGAAAACACACGAATTGATTATCTATGAAATAGTGGCAATTCTCGTACATAAATACCCTTTTATCCTTCTTGGTTACCCACTTACGCTGAGTTAGTTTTTGGATATTTGGAAAGAACTCTGGAAAACAAAAGGAGAAAACAGGACCTAGCGTCCTCATACTCATACTCATCAAATAAGCGACGTTTCCTTGAGAATCGTTTTATGTTTTGGCCCTTTGAATGCAATGAATTAAGTTTGTTTCCAAACACCCCTGTTAGTCTGAAAATTCATTTTTAAACAAAGGTAAAACTATGTAGACGTGGTCTAGACACAGAAAGTTTACTGTACACAAACAGATACCAAACAATACCTACATTTTTGTATCACCCGTGTGCTGTTACAGCGTAACAGTTTCCCGCAATGTATGCTCCCTGGCTGTTGGAACTCTCCTGTGCACGAGTCAAATTTGTCGTTGCGTAAAGGTAGCCGAGACAAACCACGCCGTTCGCTCTCGCAATCAGGAAAATTAGGTTTTGACCACTTGTGACACACCACAGTGTGAGTATTGGCAGTATATTTATGATAGTATGGTTAAGATTGTTTGTGTACAGTTTAATTGGGCTGTCATAGGATGATATGTCGGGAATTCGCTTTGACAAGCCTTGTAATGTGACTAAGTTTTCGCGCGGTTTTTGAATATGCTGACGCATTCAATTTATGTGTTTGAGTTACCCTTATAATTTATTGTCGCATAAGGTTATATGTAAATGGATATTTCTTACGTTGTTTAGGTGTGTCTTTAAAGTCTGTTTTAGCGCATTGTGGACTAAAAGTTGTTATTTTTGTTGAATAGCAAATTACCGTAATGATTTTAAAATGTGGACACCTTTTGTTAAACACATGATATTATATGCTAGCGACCAGGTTAAGTAATCATTTGTGTTTGTATTTCTTACAGCCTTTTACCCTTTATGAGAACCTTCATATACAGAATAAACACCTTCAAATCTGATGACACTTGTACCATCATTTCTTGAATGGAAGAGGTTCGGGGTTATCTTACTTGTAGCTCGCAAGGGTGATGCAAGTACAACCCGAGTCATGATACCAGAAAAGCATTCAATATAATTTAGATATGCCTATGCACACGAATGTGTCAAATGGATGAATCTACAAGGAACAGTCGAGTTGGAGAAGTGAAATCATATCTACAGTCCCGTGGATATCCGATTCTACTTGTGAAGGGGGAATCAAGAAGGCAACAGCCACTCACAGAAATACACCGTTGAAAGTGCGTGATATGCAAATACTTACTTAAAGCTATCACACGACCCAAAGTATCTCCGCATAACCCCACGAAACCCTTTCACGGTATTAGCATCCTTTACATTGCTACGTCATAAAATCGACGTTATAACTGTCACCATTAAAACAAATCGTGTTGTGTCATTCTTGAGAACATTTCTTTATTTACTATGCAAAAAAGGAGAGGGTATTTTGGAGAGGGTATTTTGTTTTGAGGTGTAACTACAGGAAAATACACCAATGTCTGGCAATGAAAATACGTGATTTTCCGAAGAATCAGGCTTCCAAACACAACAGTGAGACATTCGAGAAGCACGTAAACTCGGACAGCAGTTGCAATGAGTGGTATGCCAGATTTACCATTGTCACTCAGACTCGGTTATAAGCAGACGCGTGTTGTTCTTTTTTAACCAAACGGTCAAAAACACTTTATTAAACAGATCTAATCATTACGGAAGCGAGAGCACTGATCATGCGATGTTTGGAACATGCTGAACATTTACCTGTCATAGGCATGTTGCAGGTTGGCACACGTCAGAATGTTGTTCTCAAATTGTCATCAGCAGATTGTGGGCCCGATACCAACAAACACAAAACGTCGAATATCGACGCAGCTCTTGACGCCCATGACAGCTGAGTTAGCACGATGGAATTAATAAATCAGTTGCAAACTGCCATAACATAAGGACCGGTTGCAACAGGTAACTGGTCTAAGAATACATGTCAAGAAGGCGCAAAATCGGCTGCACAGATGTCATGTTTGTGCACGACGTCCACTTATCATCCCACAACTTACTACGCGCAAATTGAATCAAAGGCGTCAGTGGTGAACGGAACGTCAACACTGGCATAATGTTGGGCTAATGTCATGGTGTCTGACGAATCGAGGAAGTTCCATGATCGAAGGAATCGAGTTAAGAGACATCCTGATGAGCGTTTCATGGGCGTCAACATCTTACAGCGTGATCGTTTGGGGGTGGATCCATATTGGTATGGGGTGACTGGCCGAAATGCACTTCATATTGTTCATTGCGGAGTCAATACTAGTGAGACAACATCATTGCATCACACGGAGTGCCATTTTCACAACGTGTTGGGCAACGTTTCATCTTTTAAGATGATAATTCACGTGCTCATCGTGCCATGACTGTGACCCAATTTCTGCAACAGCAAAACATCCATAACATGCCACATCATATCCTACGTAGGACTTATTATCTTCTACGTAGGACTTACTATCTCCTACGTAGGACTTAGTGTGGGCTAGAATAACTAACTACAAAGGAAATAATAAGTCTTACGTAAGATATAGTAAGTCCTACGTAGGAGATAGTAAGTCCTACGTTGGAGATACTAAGTCCTACGTAGGAGATACTAAGACAAAAAAATTCAAGGGGGCCCAACTACACTCCCGTAGAATTGACACTGAGGAGCAGTCCTTAGTCCTGTTGAATAGATATCAGTTGACAACTTTCTATTATGATTTCTGAGAAACTGGATACCATTATGGTTCTTTTACGAAATCAACCCCAATCTTCACCATTTTTATGTAACGACGTTTCACGGCAAATTCTTGTTTCTGGTCTACATTTTCCCCTTTTAACAGACATATGATGACAGTTACAACTATGGTTGACAGAGATGATATTTTTGGATGTCAAGAATTGTCAACGTTGAAGAAATCGTTCTTTGGTGTTTATGTTAATTAGGATATGATCGAAGAAAGATGGTCCAGGTTACATGAGTTTACTCTTAAGAAAACTATTTACGCAAGTGTAGAACATGATGGAACTCATTTGACTGTGATAGTAAACAATGTGATCTCATCTGCAGAATTAACAGGTCAGTAATAAGTTTTATGCCATTTGCCCTTCCAAACTTTAACCGTTATTGTGAACCCGACACTTACAATCGATGGGTTAATACTTGTTTTATGAATACCTGGGGCCATTCCCCAAAGACATCTTGGCGTAACGAGATAGCAACTCTCATACAATTAGACATACTTGAGCGCGAGGATCCTCAGCGGAACGAGGCCCCTGGAATCATCACCAATCAGCTTTAAGAACCAATAACATGAACATGCGTAAACAGATCTTTCGACTGGTATGACAAAGAATCTACTGCATTCGCACTTACCGAGATCCTAATCAAATACGTTGCTTCGGTATGACGTCAAAAAGACGTTTTTAAAATTAAAGTTCCAGATGTTTCCATTGCACTACTGTGTGTAAGGGGTACCGTGAAAGGAAACACTTGTCGCTGTGTAGAATTCCTGTTATCTGGTCCCGCTGGTCGTGGGCTTAAAATCAGATATTCGTATTAACTTGCACATGGGCCTAACCAAATCGGCGTGATTCACTGTAGTATTGTTTCCCACATAAACTCTGACCTCTGTTATATAACTGGTTTGACTGTTGAAAGTGGCTTTCAAGCTCTTGGCGCTCTGTACTTGCAAACCTTCACTATTAAAAGGACGAATATATATGAATTAATTAGTCAGTTTGTTTGATTATTAAACGAACGAATGTTGAATAAATTGCTGGACATATCCGTGGATTTTGCTGAATAAAGTTTGTATAAGTAGTTTACCATATTTCTGCTACATTCAGTGCAGTTGACGATGACCCGCTTCACACACTTTGAAGGAGAGCCTGTTTTCACGTCGACAATGTACTCAAAGATATTCCCGTTAGGGTTGAGTGGTCTGCTCCATTCCACAGCAATAGAGCGGGAAGTGTTGTCAAACGACGTCAGATTGGTAACGCTTCCGGCAGCTGAAGACAACGTAGTGGAGTAAAGAAATTTGAAGGTTCATATTCTATATGGATAGAATGAAACTCTTCGGACATGATCAATATCTCACAAAGAGTAATTTGTCACTTCTTCTGTAGCATCACTAATACAATATGAAATATCAAAAACTAAAATTCTATAACCTGATGCCAAATATCATTGAATCGCTGTGATACAATTAAATGTTTCCATTATACATTACACTGTCAAGGTTTGTGAAAATGAACTAACATGAATGACCGATTTGATCAACATTACTCAAATGCAGTGAATGGCGATGTCTGTGGTAATAAGCATGATAACGACATACATATTTAATGAAGTATAGAAGACTATTGATATGGGTGGCATTTCTTTCTTTTGATACGTTGTATTGAATTAACGTCCCAAACTAAAATATGTATTATATTTTGTTTTCAGGCTTTTGAGAACAAACACTTAGAAATTGTATTTGTTCTTCCGCTAAATCGTAAACGTATCAAATAGGTATTTTAACGTGTGAAATGAACTTTGCTTAAAAGACAAGATACTTACGTTTTGCTTGTACCAGTATCACAGTGGTAAATGGTGAACTAAAGAGGTTCCCACTCTGTGTTTTTATGGTCAGGGTGTACGACACAGCTGGGACAACACCAGTGAAGACGACAGAGATGAGGTCCTGTCCACTGCCGTGGGGAGGTTCATGTCTTTGGTTATATGTATCTCCATCCCGCCTACTGAGTGTCACAATGTACTTGTCTGCATCCCCCTCAGCCTTGGAAAACACAATGGTGATATCTGGAGCTGTCCTGTTGGTTTTGCTATCCAGCTCCACGATGGCCGCGGGTGCTGAAATAACGACATACATGTGATGGCACAGTGGCAATATTCTACAGTTATAAACGCTTGCGCTCGGAAAACGTCTCCTCAATAACATGACGCCACTTACTGATTAAGTGTGATCAGCAGTGACGTTACAATCAGTACTGATTTGAAATGAGTTAAAAGAGAACTTATATCGTCCCGCTTTGATTTCTGGTTGTGGTATATAGTCTAGATTGAATGCCCAAGAGCCACTTTTCTCAATGTACGTATTCACCTGTTTGCCACCTGTGACCTTAAACACGTGTGGAAATAATCACCTTTATATGGATGAGAGTTCGGGTTTGTACAGAACGAGGCCGAATGTCGATGGGTACACAAACGTTCAGCTTATAAAATCCCGTACACTCTGCTGGTGAGTGAGTGAGTGAGTGAGTGAGTGAGTATGGTTTAACGCCGCTTTTAGCAATATTCCAGCAATATCACGGCGAGGGACACCAGAAATGGGCTTCACACGTTGTACCCAGGTCGGGAATCGAAACCGGGTCTTCGGCACGACGAGCGAACGCTTTAACCAATAGGCTACCCGACCGCCCCTCACTCTGCTGGTGACACATGTAATGAATTTATCATTCACAATAGGTGACAAGTGACAAAAGCGATTTCATCCATCTTGTGACCGCCATCGTTAATTCAAATGGAGACAGGATCATGACATGAGATGCAAGTGACGTCAAATCAAAAGCTATGACATCATGACATCCATATAGACCGGCTAACCGACTTGTATGGGTTTTTACCAGACGACGACAAGCTAAATTATTTAACGATTAATGATAAATGCTTTTGCCATGTACCGAGTTGAGGTACATTTTACATCCCCCATTTATAACATGTACTTGTCATCCCGGAGCATATTCTTTGACTTTCCTGATTTCCAATACATGACTGATATGTATGCTCATGTTTTGTTATTCCTTGACTATGTACCGTAGTCAATGTGTTTCCGGTCAAATGCATTTAATTAATCATTGTGTCCTTAAGATTAAATATCCAGCTAAATCTGCTAGAGATCAAGCACAGGTGCATGTTTTACTTGACGAAGAGCTTAAAATGATGTATCGATCGCAGTAAACAGTACGCTCCTGTACACTGGATCTGAGGCCTCATTTTCATACGCAAATTTATATACTTTCGTCAAATCATATTGCGAAGAAAGACAAATGTTCAGCGCTCTCCTAATATATTTTATGTACTTATTTTTTTAACAGTTAGATTACCACACACAGTGTTTGTTAGTAAACGGTATACACGGAACCGCGGAAACAGGAGCTTACTTAGATTAGTGAGTGAGTGAGTATGTTTTTGCGCCGTTTTTAGCAATATTCCAGCTATATCACGGCGGGGGACACCAGAAACGGGCTTCACACATTGTACCCATGTTGGGAATTGAACCCGGGTCTTCGCCATGACGAGCGAACGCTTTAACCACTCGGCTACCCGACCGCCCCACTTACTTATATTATGTAAAATATGAAGGGTTAGGCAATGTCAGACCAGTTGTGTTGTAAAGACATATGCCCATCAACTGCAAGTAACATGTTTTGAAATTTTTTCTTATAAGGTGTCAGATTAATTTGTAATACGTTTTGGGGAATGACCTCTTATTCTATTGACTGTCATATACCACAGACGTTTTCCCTGATCTATTTTTCAAGATAATGCCTTGTGAACAGACACGAAAAGGTCATCTGGAAAACGTCATAGCTCACAATATACCTGCTAATTTGATAACTCAGACTATTGGAAATATATTTAATATTTTTCAATTATCAATTCATAAATATCTTTACGGCTTCCATAACTGTGTGTAATGTCAGAGTACAGTTTGATTCACGTACAGAGAGCACGTGATAGACAAATTTGATATTCAACTGATTACAGACACTATATTTCGAATGATTGCAATGATGATAATATTATGTGCGAAAACGCCTAAAGCTTCTTATTAAATTTTTACCCGACATAATTTGTGATACATACAATTAATGACTGTACCAAGTTATAAATCCTGAACAGCCAACACACCGAATCTAACTTTTGTGCAGAATGTTGCTATGACAGCCGCGCCACATTGTATTTTTCCATAAGGTGCCTTTTAGATTAAATAAGCGTGTTTTTTAAATGGCCAGAACAGTATGATAATAGACGATTAGAAAAAGAAGAATGTTCGTGTAATGGTAAAATTAAGTGAGTGGAATGTGAATGTTTCAGAAAATGACGAACGTGTGTCAAAAAGTGTGTAATAGTGAACAGGATATTTGTATGAAAACGTATGTGTCCGATTGGTATGACTTACTATGTAAGCCAGTCGGAAAAACGGGAAGAAATAAGCTTCGCACGTGCAGGAATATTTAAAGATGTGTAGGGATGTGAGATGTATGTTAGCATGTATATGTCCGTTCATATCGTTTCGCTTAGATGTGGCATGAAGTGTGTTTTGGGTGTACTGAAGCCATTGAGACTCTATTGTCACTTTGCCCTTTGTATGATGATATGCGTGAGGTCTTGTGTGGAAGCGTCGGTTTCAGCTATCCTAATATTTTAAGATTTGTGTGACAGTGATAAATTAACTGATGTGTACTTTTTAAACACAATGAATTTACACTGCCCAAACCTGCTTTTTAACTCTACCACGCAAAAACGATATTTTATATAGTTAATGGTATTTAATCTGTCATCTGTACCTATTTATGTTTACATAAACTTTCACTGACTTTTACGTCGCTCATAGTGAGTGAGTGAGTATGGTTTTACACCGCTTTTAGCAATATTCCAGCAATATCACCGCATGGTACACGTCTATCATAACACAGTCAGGGTAGCTCTATACACTGTATATGTTATCATATTTTGTATTTGTAAGGATTGTATGTAGGTGAGAACAAAAATGTCTGTCTGTCTGTCTGTCTATTTACAAACAGATGGTGCTTTATACAATTTGGTCAGTTGGTACAATGCCGAGTAACCCATACCATTTTAAACCTTTCCTTTTCCCTTCAGCGTCTTAAGATTGTTCTCTTTCCTAATAAATGGATGAAGCGGATAATAAGAATTCTGTTCTGTGATTTCGATCGGGATGGATTTTTGTTAGAGACATAATACGTTGTCGGTCACGGCTTCAAAGCATGCATTTTTTTCTGCAAGGAGGAGACGGTGGTTTCGGAGGCATGCATTATGCGTCTCGAGAATACAGGGCGAGAAAGTATAATAAGTGTAACAAGGTATCTGGCGTTAAACCCGTATTCAGCAGCCCTTGTACCCATAAATCACGTGATCATCATTTCCAGGAAATCTGAATCTGTGATGATTTTATAGTTGTTTTACTCACATGCAGCATATCAGTAGTAAAAAAATACGTCTTCGAATTGTTTTACTACATAATTCCTCCGGAAAATCATATTCTACAGGTGACAAAATCCTGATAAAAGTTTCAATTGTAATACGCTCAAGTATCGAGTCATATCGACGCTATTGTTACCAGACACGTTTGGCGAAGGCCAAGATAACGAGCAGGAATTATTTTTTGGACAGCTGTTTTCGATGTGACGCAAGTGTAACCCCTTCCTTATAACACTTGTTTCATTCTCGTGCCCAACTTCAGGTCACTGGAAAATAATTGCAGATTTTATTATTTCACAGGGGGCACGGGTGGCCCAGTCGTGTAAGGCGCCGCGATTCGCTGTGCAGAGTTTTTCGTCCCTTGGGCACGCCAGAAACCTATGATTGTGGGTTCGAATCCCGGTTCGGCCCGATTATGTTTCTAGGTTTGTCAGCACCATACCCGTGCTCGTTGGTTTCACCGATGTGGTAAACGTCTGAGACCTGCATCACTTCGGGCTTTCCACCCACATTAAGCTGACTCGCCGTGATATAACTGGAATACTGTTAAAAGCGGCGTTAAACACAACTCACTCACTCACTTATATTTCACACGTCTGGTGGATAGCGATAGTCACTGAGGTTGGAATGCGTTTTCACAAGAATGTGGTTGGGGTGCGTCTTCAAGCAGGGAAACAACAGTTTAAAGTTATTTTACATACACTACACTAAATACTTTAAGCGGGTATACCATTTACAACATGTATAATCTATGAAGGGACATTTACAGATCTGTATAATATAAACTGCCGATCAAACGAAAATATACATTGTTAGATTGTGAATAGATGTAATACCTGGGAAACGAAACTCAATTTAACAGGTAGAAATCGATTGATCAAACACACCCACCAACTGACTCTTAGAGGTCTGTACATTTTGAGAAAAATGCAGATTTTGTAATGACAGCACGATATCAAAATAAAAATGCAAAGAGGGTATAAAAAGGATTCAGTTGGTTCCCAATAGATCACAGTAATAAAGTCATGCCAAGGTTATAAGCCGAGCGGAGAGAGGGGGGATGTTGGGATGTCTATGATGGGGGCTACACAGCTCTATGTTGGAAGAACGTTCGGGTGCAGCCGACTGACAATTGTCATACAACTTCAGCAATTACACCAAACTGGGCACACAAAGTACAGGCACCCAAGCGGTAGACCACGTGTCTACCCTACAAGACGACCGCCATATATGCTCGTTACATCTGCACAACCGCTTCATTGTGGTGACATCATCGAATTTACCGGGACTGGTACGTCGCAAGTGTCAAAAGGTTTTCGTGCTGCAGGAATTTGGGCTCACAGATCCAACCAAGGAATTGACTTGACCGGTCAACACCGGCGAAATAGACGTCAGTTGTATCGAACTGTGAGTGGGCAGTGACGTGATTAACCAAGGGTACTGTCCAGGGTCCAGAGCCGGTTTAACTTGTTCTATCCTGATGGTTCGACACGGGTATATCAGCGGAGAGGTGAAGGGTTGGCTGTGGCATGCAGTTAACCCTTTTGGGTGCTGGGGCGTCATGGGGCGGAAATTGTGGTGGTAGAAAGACGGGCCTTGTCATCATCATCCGTGGAAATTTGAACGCTCAATGTAACAAGGTTGCCATTCTCGGGAGACAGAAACAATGAATACAGCTCCAACAGGACAATACCAGACCCCACACTTCCCAAATACTCCAGGAATTGATAACGTATCCATGTTGCCCTTGCCGTCACGCTCACCCAAACTCCCGCTGACAGAACATATCTGGGACCATACAACATCCAAACCTGCCGGGGCGCTCGGGTAACCTTGTGGTTAAAGCGTTGCCGCAGACCCGGTTAGATTCCCGACATGGGTACAATGTGTACAGCCCATTTCTGGGATCCCCGCCGTGATATTGCTGGAATGTTGCTAAAACCATAATCACTCACTCACTCCATACCTGTCGAACACCGTACATCAGCGGGAACGTGTGTTAAGGAGCACCCACATACCCTCAATATAACGCTGCTGGCAGAACAGAACTTACAATGATGACATCTCCCAATACACAAGACGATATAGTTTGCGAAAGATCAGGTAGGAAACAGAATGAAAAGATGCAGGCTGGTGAGTTTCGGATATAACTTCCAGGAAATGCATACATTCATACACACACACGCACGCACGCATGCACGCACGCACGCACCCACGCAGTTGTGAACCTTAGGCGCGTCATAATCCCAGGATTGGTTCGAATTCAAGATTTGCCCCAATTATGATTCTTGGTTTGTCAGCACCATTTCCGTGTTCTCTTGGGTTTTGCCAAAGTATGAGGTATCTATGGCATACGTCATTCCAGACTTCCTGTCATATTTAGCTCACACCCTGTGATATAACTAAACTATTGTATTGTATAATAAAACGGCTTTAAAAGCAAATTACACTTATTGTTTCTTCAAAGAAAGTTAGTGACCCTTTCTATAACAGTAAATAATTGATAATGTTATATATGGGATAACACTTTCTCAGTTAAGAACAGATTCTAGTACCTGTTTGGTACTACAAAATGCCACAATGCCAAAGTGAGGCACCTCACCCACTCAGCTGCCGAGGCTTCCACAAAATGAAAGTCAAACAACTGTTAGTCAAAATAACGTACTTTGTGTTTCCCTCTGACAAATGCAAAGTGGCACGGCTCCCACAGCCGGAAGTTTTGAACACACAATGTCATTTAGAAAGTGGTCAAATGTAACGAATGTTATATTTGAGATAACGTTTTCTTAGTAAAGTACAGATTCTAGTACGTTTATGGGTTAAGTCTAATACCACACTGCCAGAGGGAGGCACCTAATCCCACTCAAAGTCAGCGATCTAACCCACTCAGCCACTGAGGCTTTCACAAAATGAAAGTCCGACAACTGGTAGTTTAGATGACGTACTTTGTGTAGCCCTCTGGTACAGAAGTTATAACCCTTGACGAACACCTTTGATGCAAATACACTTTATCTCACATAACAAGACTGATATATAGTTCCCCAACTGAAGAGTTGTAGCCGCGAGAAATATTGTAGCAAATACATCGATATCGTAGCTCAACTTATTGTTGTTGAAACAGATTTACCAGACACACATAAATGCTTGTTATTTGAACCAAATAATTGTCAAATAAGATAGATGAGGTGAGGTGAGGTGAGGTGAGGTGAGGTGAGGTGAGGTGAGGTGGTATTCCAACCACAAATGAACAGAAAAACGTCAATGTGAACTATACATACTTGTTCGCTCTGATGCTGCAGGTACAACGTCAGTCATCTCGTCACGTCCCTGCAGGTAGGTGATCTTTGTCTTCACAGACACAGTGTACAATCTCCCCGGCGTCAGGCCTGTAATGGGCGTGGTCCTGATGTCTCTGTCCACACTGATCGGAGTGATGCCCCCTGATGTAACAGTCACCTCGTACCCGGTAATGATGGCGTTAGATGGAGCTACCCAGGATGCTGTCATGGTGGTTGTGTCGTTTACGTAGGCCGTCACAGAGGTAGGCTTGAGTTGTTCAACTGAGTTGAAATGAACAGACACAGCACACACTGGTGTAGTCAACTATCTTTCACGAACCGAGATAAATACGTGGAATTGAAGTATATGTAGGAAGAAAATAATTTACGCAAGTGTCATTTCAATCAATCAATCAGTTTATTCGGTAATAGGCCTCCTCAGGCCCACGTACAGATATATACAATTTAGTTTCACATCAAGTGCTGCATGAAATATTATTTACAGGTAACAAGAACGAAGAAAGATAGCATCTTTAACATAATTGGCTAGGTTCTCAAGACAGTTTACATCAGAAGAGTTTAACATTCTAACCAGTGTGTCTTTACGATTATTACCAGTAATGAAGTCTAAATATGGGAAACATTTTAAGCGAATATCTTCATAAATAGTCATTTAATAGTCAAGTGTCATTTAATATTGAATGGAAAGCGGGACATGTAGAATGAAATACAAGATAATAGGACTTTATAGCAATTATACACGACTATGTGTAGATAGTTACTGTCGCACCGCGATTCGCTGTGCAGAGTTGCGTCCCTTGGGTACGCCATAATCCTATGATTGTGGGTCCGAATCCCGGTTCGACCCGATTATATTACTAGGTTTGTCAGCATCATACCCATGCTCGTGGGTTTCACCGAAGTGGTAAACGTCTGAGACCTGAATCACTTCGGGCTTTCCTCCCTCATTAAGCTGACACGCCGTGATGCAACTGTTAAAAGCGGCGTTAAGCCCAACTCACTCACTCACTCACTCACTCATATAATGTTCATGTTCCGAGTGGAATATTTTTTTACCTTTTACCCAATAGTAACCATTGTTTACTTAGGCATTATTGAAGAATGATAACGCGATCCACAATAATCAAGAAGGCGTAAAATATTCAAAAGCCAGGGAAAATTTGTATGTGATCAATTTGTTCGTATATTCTATAGTACATTTTTATGATCTGTGACCATACTATTTAATAGCACAGAGATATTTACGCTGTAAACCTAAACATATTTACAATGTTTTTAAATATGCAAATATCCCTTTCCAATTTACATGTAAAAATACATTGTTGTTTCAGGTCGCGTAACACTACCGGAAGTCACTTTCAACCTCTGTTGATTTTGCGAAACCCAGAAATGTTCTTTCGTCATTATATATTACATGTTGTCATATATACGTGTGCAATTCACTTATTAAGCTGAGTAGGTCAGCCCACCCATCTAACTGGATTTCATACACGATAGACCACACATAATCTGTAACATCGCAATCTGATCCGCATCCGAAAGTTACCTTTAACTCCATTTCACAAATATTTTAGAAATCCAGAGAAAAAATATCTCTAATTACAGTCAGTATATTTACTTTTTCCCTTTTAATTCGACATCAGGCGATTTTATATGGAATGAATATTTATGTTTGTATTGAACTGGAACATTACATTTTACATGAAAAGAATATGTAGTGTGATAAACTTACATGTGTGTGCAATCGCATTATGTATGAGTTTACACCCTTCACTTACTGTCTGACCGCCTCAGTGGTCTAGTGGAAGAGCGTCCACAACTTACATTTCTAATGTGGAAAGAAATACACAATCCCCAATGGCTTGGTCGATTTTCTAATATTGAAATATGTATGTATAATGTATAATTGGTAAAAGACTGTGTGTGTGTGTGTGTGTGTGTGTGTGTGTGTGTGTGTGTGTGTGTTGGTTAAAGCACGCCACACATCTACTGTTCTGGACCCCCAATGCTCATGCCTTCACCCCCCACTGCCCACATGTTACAAAATAGATACATCCAGATAGCTGACTGCAATAGTATAGGAAAGAATATAATAACTTGATTTCATAATGTGTGAAGGTTATGTTAAGTTTACATTACAAATTATGAATTATTTTCCACCATTCCGCGAAGTGTGTGACATACAAATAGTGTTTAAATATAATCTAATATAGAAATATTTCGATTTTATATGGAAGACAGTATCGAGGTGACAACCAAAAGAAAGAAGAGCATTTAGATTTTGTGAGGTGAGGTGAAATGGGGTTGACATCGCGTTCAAGATTATTGCACTTATAAGGCGACGTCAAATCGAGTGTGTGTGTGGTTGCTTCTACTAGCCCGGACTAATGCCGATTTTCCAGTGCTAGCCCAGGGAGATACCATGCCGCTGCTTAACATGAATACCGCACTCAGACACAGTATATTGACTCCGAGCCGACCAGTCCTTGTTTTAGCCCATCTTGTGACGAATTTTGGTATTACGCGGCCGGGGATCAAACACACGACCTTCCGCTCTCTGGGCAGACCCTCTACCACCAGATCACGGAGGCGGTCTGATATCGATTTTGTGCTGCAGTCATGTGACGTACGCATGTGGTATCCCACCACCTGTTGATTCACCACGTGGGTAATAATGGTATTTAGTAGGACACTGAACAAACTTCAAATGGTTTTTAGCTATACTTGAATATCATGAATATTTGAATTTTGAAGAATAAACAAGAACAATGTAGGCAAACCCTAAGAAGACTTGTTTACTGAAAGCAAGCGGCTATGTTTAGTAGACGTCGATGCTGCATGTTGAATGGATACTACATATAGATGTAAATAGTCGTATTAACCACTTACTGCTGGAACAGTCGGTAGCTCGGTAGTATCCCTCATCACAGCGACAACTACCACTGTAACAGTTGGTACGGGCATCGATACACAAACCAGGCTGTGAGCAGGTTTGATTGTAGGCGATCTCTGAAATCAATGATTAGGTTGGGGCGTGACTATATGCTGTAGTTCTCCCGTGGTGTAGAGGCAGATATATTTGATCTCGAGTCAAGCAGTGAAAACAGCGATTTAAATATTAAACGTCAATGCCAGAGAATAACCAGTCTCAATTATCCGACTAAACAGATCCCATTGGGCGTAAAAGGCAAAATAGCAGTCAAGATTACACGAAAGGATCACTGAAAATCAGTGATGAAACCAGGTGTTCGAGAAAAGGGTAAGCATATCTATCCTGCCCCACAAACAATACCCCCACCAGAGTAGCTACTTGTAGTAAATGTAAGTAAGTGTCACATTTACTTGTTGTAATATTCCTTTGGACCGAGGTAATCGTCTGACTCCTGCCGTACTGTGTGATGGTATGTGCAACTGTGACTGTATACTCTGTTCCTTGAGACAGGGGCTGAATGTTGTAGTTCTTTTGTTGTGTAGAGGCAGTTCCTGGTGATCCTGGTGATCCTGGAGGTCCTGGAGACCACACTACCGTGTAGATGTAGGTGTACCCCTCAGTGACATCTGTATTTGTCCAGCTGATGCTAATAGTGCCTGTTCCTATGGATGGTGGGTCTGTTATGACTGGTCGTAACACACTAACTGAAAGCATCCATGATCACATCGATTAGTGAAATATCTAACATCGATAATTATCATCAACGAGGTTATTGGATATAATGGCTTAATGTTCGCCTTAGATTTTCAATAAAATGTCCTGTCATATTTGTTTCTAACATACTTCATAACGTGCAAGTGTTGCTGTCCATCCTCCACTTGTGAAGATTCTGACATAAAAATAATGCATGAAGAATTTCCTGACGGATAGTGCAGTTTGATCATTAATCTGAACTTTTTTCAATTATTATGAATAAAGTTTTGAAGAAGACGTGTTTAGTGTGCTCTCTCCCTTCCCACCACCCCCATTCATTTAAAGTAAGATATTTTCGGCCCATAATATAATGCTAGGTATGGTCAATATGTCTACGGTCTACTTCACACGCTCTATATTTTTACAATTAATAAATGTTGTTTGCGATTACAGTCCTACAATATTCTTCATGCACCAAGGATTCACTGAATGTGTCTGCTTTAAAGGACACTGTCAGACAACTTTCCACTTGGCTCAAGGAAGGCTACGCTTATTTGCAATAGGAAGTTCAAGACTGAAAATATTTCAGCGATAAATGCCGTAATGCTGCTGTGAAACAAACAACAACAAAACCTGTGGTAAATGCAATAAAAACAGGAAATATAACACACACAAACAAATGTCCCTGTATTAAACAGTTGTCGAGGGGTATAGGTATAATAACTCACATATTCCTAATATTGGTAAAAATGTGATCTATAAAAGAAGAAAATATATCAAGCTAATTCCATAGAAGTATCGAAGGTATGCCTATTCTTGTTATGGCAGATATTGGGAACTTGATAAATATAGTTTTATATGTTAATGAGATGAATGGACCTCTGTCGATACAAGGTGTTCCTGAAAAGGGTAAGCATATCCTACTATACCGTTCGCACACGCCACTCACACTATGTATATAAAAAACGTAAGTGTTTGTTTTGTTGCCGCACACCCTACATAAGTGACCCTGTAAAACGACTACGGCTTGTTAACAATCGAGTCTTGATCAGACAATGAAGTGACACGAAAGTGTGTTTACGGTTTTTGTTGAAACTAAAAACGACATAAAACTTGTAAATATTCAGCTGCGTGCAAGTGATGCTAACAGTAATTATATGTGTATGCCCTTCATTGTTTCTGTAAATAACGTTTTATCCTGTATTCTAAATACCAGTTAACATAAGCGGTGTGATAAAAGGATATCGTGAATGACTAACAAAGTGGGTTCAGGGTTTAGTTTAGAGCTTATGGTAACACATCTGTACTGCACGCCACGTTTCAAATTGGTATTTTAATAGTATACAAAATGAAGTTGTTTCCTTTTATACATATCTTGAACTTTATTCCCACGTTGGTTTACACTAGAGCTCAGTCTTGCCATGTCACAAGCCACAAAGGCCTTATTTTCTGTATATAGATATAAATGAGAGTTTAGCTATTTACATGTTATGATATGTTTGGCATATTTGATGAAATAGTAACACCTGTCGTATATTGGGGCAGAACCCATAACAAAGAAAACCAGTTATGACGGCTTCTATCATTTACTGACGATGGCGTCATCCACATACACTGCTGACGTCACACACAGGCGTGGCACTGCTGTGGTGTAAACAATACCACGTGTTTCTACAGCACTAAATAACATAAATTGGTTGATGCATGTTGATGCATGTCATCGTAACCCAATTGTGTAGATCGGTGCTCATGATATCAATCACTGGATTGTCTGGTCCAGGCTCGATTATTTACAGACCGCCGTCATATAGCTGGATATTGCTGATTGTGGCGTTAAAAAACAACAAACAAACAAACATTCGGGTGCCATCACCCCGAGAATGTCCTTTTCCTATTTTACCTCATCTGACACATGTCATATATTAAACCTTTCACTCACATACGTACATTCGTTATTTTCATTGACATGGATGTAGTGGAATTTAACACAACATGACATATGACTCTTTGACGTCCTACCAAGCATTCTCACTCCCAGCAGAAATATTTTACTTCCAGTTATTAGTGTCATACTCAAACAATTCGACTGGGGGAAAAAATGCTAATCAAATGGTACAATGATCTGTCAACACAGACATTTCTAACGGGATATTAACACTTCGATTTTTGGGATAAAGTTATACTTTAGCTGAATTGAACAAGGGCAGAAATGAAAACTCTTTAAAATTGTAGACGTGTATATTTATAATATACATGCAACACAAGCTGTAGATTACCAACACATAAAATCTTTACACAGGCAGATCTAATCAGTTCTACATACATGGCCAGATATATACGAATGTCATCATTTTGTTTAACGCTAAATGGTAAAGTATTACTTTTATCTAGCTAATGTCATGTCTCTAAATTTTCTCACAACCAACTGTATCTCGTATTTGGCAGCTTTTGGCATTCTCAATGTGTATGTCAGAGCAGGGGAACGCTTTAACCCTTTGACTTCGAACAGGATCCACAGAATCGAAGTGATCAGTGATGGTTAGGAATATGTTTGTTGACTAAGTCTGGCATTTATTATCCTGCAAATGATTGATTTCATTCATTCGTGTTTGATGATATCGAATTGATTCAATGCCTAAATGTAGGAGGTCTGATGACCAATTACAGGCTACAATTTGATACTTACATTGAACACAAGATACTGGACTTGTATTCGGCCGATACCATCCACTCTTACAGAGACACTTCTTGTCTGATGGCACTGTAGTCTGTATACAATCTATATTGGAGTCTGAGGTGTCACACTGGGATGTCTCATTACATGCACCGCCGAAGACCTTTTCTGAAAGTAGCGTATTATAACACTACAGAAATGTCTTACAAACGGGGTAACGGTGATATGTTTTGTCATCAAAGCTCATTCAACAGTTATTATACTACAGGAAGAAAATAAACCAATATGTTAGAGAATAATAAGCTATATCCTGCTGTCAACGAGCTACAGATGAGCATTCCCCTCTATACATTTGCATGCCCTACAGGCTATGGCACTATATACTACAGTCTCGCTGATTTCAGTAACAGTCAACGTGGGTTTTGCGGTAAATGTTTCTGGAGTCTCTCTCTCCCCTCCCCCCTTCTCTCTCCGTCAAAACGCTGAAATATTGAATACAACTCATTCACTACAACTTTACTTCTTGATTTCAATACCGAAGCAAAGTTGTTCGTTGTGTTGAGTATTTTTGGTGAGGAGTCTTGAATTTGATATATTTGATCTCTAGTCAACTATTGACAACAACTATCAAATTATCAAAAGTCAATGCCAGAGAATAACCAGTCTCGATTATCCAACTAAACCGATTCCACTGGGCGTAAAAGGCAAATTTTCGGTCAAACTTAGGTGAATGGATCACTGAAATTTTGTGATGACACCAGGTGTTCGAGAAAAGGGTAAGCTTATCCTGTCCTACAAATAACTCAAACAGGAAGCCCATAGGTGTATCGCTCACCTGGATATTTATGCAATCATGACAAAATATATATTTGCATTGTACATGTATATAATACTGCAAATATTTTGACTCTGTCAGCATCTAAAATAGGTGGATGGCAAATATGACAGCATGAACGTGTATTTCTCAAGATACAAATGTATGGTAGAGGTGTGTTTATATCTACTCATATCCCTGATGTATTTGCTCTGTTATTTGCTGGTGATGTGCCAACCGTCTCTGGTACTGCTTTACAGCTTCAAAAGAAAATAAAGACCCTGGAGAAATTCTGTGATGATACTGGCATGAAAGTCAATCTGAATAAGAGTAAAATAATAGTTTTTTCGGAATGGAGGTCCTCTTCGCAGTTATGAAAAGTGTTTTTTGAATGGTCATAAGCTAGAAGTTGTCAACATGTACAGATATTTAGGAATTATTTTCTCACCAAAGTTATCTTGGACCAAGGCCCAAGCATGTCTAGCAGCCCAAGCAAGGAAAGCACTTCTATCAATATATAATTATCCAAAACAATTTGGATACATTAATCACCATGATCTTTTTAATATTTTTGATGCTATGATTTCACCAATCCTATGTTATGGATCAGAGATCTGGGGAACCAGCTACTGTAACATTATTGAGAGTGTCCATAACAGATTCTGCAAATCCTGTTTGAAGGAAATAAGTTCACCAACAACAATATGGTTCTAGGAGACTGTGGTAGGATCCCCAACAGTATAACTACATGTACATGTCAAGAGCAGTCACGTACTGGTGCAGACTAATTCAGATGGAACAACACAGGCTACCAATCCAAGCTTATTATATACTAAAATCTCTTGATAATGGTAAAATTACATGGGCACCACATATTAGAATGATTTTATTCCAGTTGGATTTGGTTTTGTTTGGCTAAGCCAAGACATTGGTAATATTCAACATTTCATGACAGATTTTAAACGAAGATTTTACGACTGCCTTACACAATATTGGCACTTTTCCCTTACATTATCAATACAATTACTACTCACGGTTCAAGCCATTACCAAATGTGGAATCATATATTACTTGTGATATGTCTTCTTACCAACGTAGACTTATAGCTATGTTCCGGTGTAATAATTTCAGACTTGCTGTTGAACTTGGGCGTCACAACAACATCCCATATAATGAACGTGTCTGCACTTTCTGTTTTTCAAAGGGACATAACCATGTTGAAGATGAATTCCATGTTCTTATGACTTGTGAACAGTATTCTCGAGCAAGAAGAAACTCTTTTCCCAAGCGTCTCGTTATCCCTCCCTCTATTGAGAATATTATAAGACTTATGTCAGCTGAAAACGAACAAATTATGAAAGGCTTAGGTAAATTTCTCTCCAAGTCATGAAAATCGAAAGGAAACACAGTGTGGAATGGTAAATCAGTATTAAATCTAATCAGCATGCAAATATATATACAGTATATTTCCATTGTATTATTGGCCGGTGGCCTGAAGTACCGAATAAATTTGTCTGTCTGTCTGTCTGGGGGTGGGGAAGGGTTGGGTGGTGGTATTGGGAGGGGGGGCGGGCGGTCAGCTCCATCATTTGTACAATTTTGAATCCTCACCATCAGAATACATTATTGACGAACGGACGACGGATGGATGGACGCCACGGTATCCCATAAGCTCAACTTGGTACTTCAGACCCGGTGAGCTAATAATACAGATTAACTTAGGTATTTGTAGAACATTTTAGTAAGTTTGGCATTTACTTGTTGTAAATGCTTTTGGGTCCGAGGTAATCGTCTGACTTCTGCCGAGCAGTGTGATCGTAAGTGCAACTGTGACCGTATACACTGTTCCTGGTGACAGGGGCTGGATGTTGTAGTTCTTCTGTGAGGCAGATACTGAAGGTACTGGAGATCCTGGAGACCACGCCACCGTATAGCCGTAGGAGTATCCTCCAGTGACATCTGTATTTGTCCAGCTGATATAAATATTGCCTGTTCCTATGGATGGTGTGTCTACGATGGCTGGTTTTAGTGAGTTAGCTGAAACAAATACATGTTCACAGAGATCACTGTACCGTGAGTCAACAGCCATGATCAACTGGCACGGTCGACACTGTTGTCCTTGTGCAATGAACATGACGTGTGGGTTATTGGGAAAGTGGTATATGGTATTGTGATCCTTTTATATTTGACTATTTTGGCCCCTTCATTTGTAACAGTCCTTCAACTTCAAGTCCTGCAATACTATTTGAAACAAGGAAAAGAACTTTATCACTATCCCCCTCCATGGGGCACATTAAAAGTTTGTTTGTTCATGTAGTACCGAATAAAAACTATCAAAATATTACTATAAAGCCCCACAAAGAAATCAGAATCTCATCAGAAAAAAATAATTAAATGTTAGATTAATACACACAAAAGGACCCTTCTCTTGAAAAATAAATCAAACTTCATTAGTATCTCTTTGATATGTTAACGTCAGTAGTTTCTTAGAAATCTTGTCCCCATTGCAGACACGATGCACCAAGTAAAAAAAACATGGATCAAGGGCCTTAACTCTTTAAATAAAATACGGACCAATTTTCTCAATTTTGACAAGTATCTTTTAGACAAGCATGCAAAATTTCATTCGAGTAACTTCAGCAGTTTCTGAGTAAACCTGTCCCCATTGCACACAATGTGCACTAAGTTGAAGAGCGCGGATCAAGGGCCATAACTCTCTAAACAAATAAATGACGAGGCCAATTTTCGGAATCAATCGTGACAAGTATCTCTAAGATAAGCTTGCAATGTTTCATTCATGTAACGTGAGTAGTGTCTGAGAAAAGTTGACCCCATTTCACGCAGTATGCACTTAGTTGAAAAGCATGGAGCAAGGGCCATAACTCTGTAAATGATAACTGTACGACACCAATGACCTACTCATTTGAGATCGTGATCAGTAACATCAGTGTGTAAATTTCATTTCTCTAACGTGAATAGACTTTTGGCGAAAAATTGTCCACATTGAGAAGCGGACTGACAGACGGACAAACTCAAAAGTCAGAACTATGACGACAGACGTTCCAACAACCCCTCCCCCACTTTTATGGCGGGTGATAATAATAACTATGTTTGAATTAATGAGGTAAGTTGAGACTGCGCCAGTCAATACTCAATGAATAAAAATCGTTTACACAGCGACAGGACATTACCTCACTTTTTCATCGCTTTAACAATTTTGCATTGGAGCTTGCGTACACATTCAGTGTCAAAAAAGAAATGCTTGTTCAGGTGGTGATCTGAAAGGGCAATTGTATTTTGCTTAACGCCAAGATAAAGTTAAATCAGGCACTTAACTACGCCTAGTTAGATACTTACTGTCCGTACATTATGATGATGGTGATGGCTTATACATCCCATCTTTACAGAGGTAACTTTTCTCTGTTTGCCATGCAATCTGTACACAGTCTGTGTTTGGGTCTGAGTTGTGGCACTGGGCCTTGTTACTACATACTCCGCCAAAGACTTGCTAACTATTTGGTACTTACTTTCAACACAAGGTGATGTATTTGGCCTATACCATCCAGCCTTACAGAGGCACTTCTTGTCTGCTGTAATCTGGACACACTCTATGTTGGTGTCTGAGGTGTCACACTGTGATGTCTCATTACATTCACCGCCGAAGGCTTGTTCTGAAAGAAGCGTATCATAACAGTACAGAAATATCCTACGAACGGGGTAACGGTGATTTGTATTGTCATCAAATTAAAGCTTATTAAACAGTTATTATATAAACTAAAGAACGAAAATAAACAAGATACAAGATAATAATAAGCTATATCCTTCTGTCAACGAGGTACAGATGCGTATTTTCCATGTTACTACTCACTCCGCCACAAACTTGCTCTGAAAGTAATGCATACTATCAATACAGAAATATGTAGAAAAACCGTGTATTTCTTATAAAGGCTGAACGTGAGTCCTTCATTGACAAAAGCTATTGAAAAACGTGTAACTTAGCACACGGGTGGAATGATATGTGGTAGTGGATTTAACAATGTAATTGTGGCATTGCCAACTTTTGAACATAACAGCTATATACATGTATTTATTTTAAACAATTCACTGTCTGTAAAGTGCTTGCTGACACATAACAACCAACATGACCTCGTTTAGATTAAATATGTTATTTTGAGAATGTCAAGAGAAGAAAATCAAGTTATATCTTGTAATACGACTATATCTCATGCCATCATGGACAACAATATTAGGGTGGAACTTAACTATTCGTTTCAAATGTCCTAGGGACCGAGATAGTCGTCTGGCTCCTGCCGTACTGTGTGATGGTAAGTTCGACTGTGACTGTATACTCTGTTCCTGGAGACAGGGGCTGGATGTTGTAGCTCTTCTGTTGTGTAGAGGCGGATCCTGGAGATCCTGGAGGTCCTGGAGACCACAATACCGTGTAGCTGTAGTTGTACCCCCCAGGGACATCTGTATTTATCCAGCTGATGTCAATATTGCCTGTTCCTATGGATGGTGGGTCTGTGATGACTGGTCGTAGTACACTAGCTGAAAGCATTCATGATCACATCGATTAGTGAAATAACTAACAACGTCGATAATTATCATCAACAGGGTTATTGGATATAATGGCTTATTAATATACGCCTTTGAATATTAATAAAAATGCCCTGTCATAGTTGTTTCCAACACAACACAACGTGCAAGTGTTGCCGTCCATCCTCCACTGACATAAAAATGATGCATTAAGAACGTCCCTCACTTGAAACGGACAGTGCAGTTTGATCATTCATCTGAACATTTTGCACTTATTATGAATAAAAGTTTGAAGAAGACGTGTATATGCATAGCCCACCACCCCACTTCAATTAAAGTGAGATATTTTTCGGACCATAATATACTGAACCCCTAAAGAAACGCCACCCCAAGTAACATTGCATGAAAATTTGGGTAATTTTGGTCAGTTTCTAAAATTTAACGTTACCTTGTCCGGAAAAATGAAATTTGATGATACAAAAACCAAAGCAGACCTCGTAGTGGAAGACCAAAGGTCACCACCCGACGTCAGGATCGTCAAATTGTGCGACAGCATCTTCAAGATCGCTTTGTTACTGCTGCGGAAACTGCTCGACAGGCCATGGAGACACACCAACGACACATTAGTGCGGACACCGTGCGTCGACGATTGACGAGCAGACACCTCCACTGTCACAGGCCACACCGAGGACCCATTCTGACACCACGTCATCGTCAGGGTCGTCTACAGTGGGCAACACGGCACCAGCATTGGCGCCACCAGCAGTGGGGAAGAGTCCTCTTCTCAGACGAGAGTCGTTACTGTACCTCAACATCCAATGGAAGAGAAAGAGTCTGGCGACGTCGTGGGGAACGTTATTCGGATGCTTGTGTTGTTGAGAGTTGTGGGGTGGTCCGAGCATCATTGTGTGGGGTGGAATTGATCTTGCACAGAGAGTCGGCCCTGTGGTCTTCCAGAACATTGGTCCAGGGAGAGGCAATTGTGTCCCAGCAGCTCGGTACATTGATCAAGTCTTGAGATCACGAGCCATACCTCATTTGGCACGTCGCCACAACCACGAGTTTCAGCATGATAACGCCCGTGCCCACAATGTGAGAGCAACAAGAGACTTCCTCTAGCAGAATGGCATCAGAACCATGCAGTGACCTGCCCTCAGTCCCTATTTAAATCCCATTGAGCACCTGCGGGACGAGATTCAAAGACGGCTGAATGAACTGCGTCAGGCGTTCCTCAGAGTGTTGGCTCAAGTGCCTATGGCCTTCATCAACCGCCTCATCCGTTCCATGTATCGACGTTGCACGGCAGTCATCAATGCACATGACGGACACACGAGATACTGACTTGTGATGCCATTTTCTAAGAGACTAGTGTTGTGTTTCACTTTAAGAACATTTCACACTCTAGGTTCAACCTTGATGATCACTTTTCCACGTTTCATCTTTTTAGTATCTCACAAAGTATGTTTACAGTGTTTGGACAAATAAGGTTTATCATACATCTATCCATGGAGACGTTTCTTTTGCGGTTCAGTATATAATGCTAGGTGTATATGGTCAATGTGTCTGTGGTCTACTCCACACACTCTATGTTTTTACTATTAATAAATGATGTATGCGACGAGAGTCCTACAATATTCTTCATGCAGCAAGGATTCACTGAATATGGCTGCTTAAATGGAAACTTTCAGAAAACTTTCCACTTGGAACTTCGGACGGTTCCCTTCTCGTGAATCGCGTCAGTCGAGGTGCATATAATCTAATCTTCACTCGCCTGTTATATTATCATTACATCTTACCAAGGAGATTATTAGTGGGTAAAGTGATTTAGTTTGTGTTGTTCGTATGTGAACCTAAGTAGTATTGTTAGGAATAATGTCGCATTCTAGTCCTGAGTAAAATCTCAGCGTAAAAAAACATTTCATAATAAAAAGTCTCTGCTGAAGCGTGAATTTCTTTTATTCCCTGTCACGACCTTACAGAGCTTTTCCTTGCTCTTTCATGGGGTGAATGCTGAGTAAGTGCATAGAGCATTAAAACAAAATATAATTCACATTTTGCGTTACCTATTTAACGATTGACACAATTCTTTAATGAAAAATGTTTTCTTCAGCATTACGCTGCATGACACCAGGAAGATGAGGGAATATTTCCTCACTGAGCTTTATATTATTTCTGAATCAGGTGGGTAAATCAGTCGAAGGAAATTGCCTATTTGACCTTTATTGAATTTGAACTCTGTCAGATCATCGATTTACATGAAGCTGAAGCTGATGTTTTGATGTACCAATCCAAGCAGAAAAACTGAGTCATATGCATTAAGAAACTGATCAGTAAGAAATGGAGCACAAATGATGCCCAAATAATGCCTACTAAATGTTTTATCCCCAAATTTCATATCGATGTTATCATTGAGGAATTACAGTTTTTCACATGTTGTTTTCTCAGTAAACTGCAGATGACTTTGCTGTCATTTTGACAAATTGTTCTAAACCTCTGTTACTAGGTCTGTGGTCATCACGTTTTGTAACAAACGCCGAATGGATCAAGGAATATTAAAGAATGTCAACAAGGGGTGACGTTTTGAAAAATTACATTTGTTTCCCAAATGTCAAGAACGCGCCGAGAAACCAACATCTTAAACTTGAATAAACTGATAAAATGGCGACAGTGCAAACACACGATCTCAATTTCAGTAAAAATAGTAAATATCCCGTCTCGCGTCCTTGTATTTTCGCTAATTAGACGCAGTCCGTGCGTGTGCGTATGCGTAAACGTATAACATCAATGCCCACTGAAAGGCTTTCATTGATATACTTCTGCCATGGTCTTGTAGCACACGAACGCGCTTCGCCGGCTCACTACTGATCGCTCTACCACTGCGGTATCACATACTCGTTTAACGGGCCATTAGCACCCGAATAACCCTTAGACCGAAAAGGGATGTTGGATCGTGCAGCGAGAGTCATTGGAGCGTGAGCCACGGTTACGAGTCACACATCCAACGATACCGGGAAAGATTAGTTACGTTTACGATGCCCGAAAAGGCTGCTGAAAATCGGCAAAATTGAGAGACGGAGCGCCTGACGATCATCTGTGAGCATTGGCCATGTTTTTGACTCGGAGTTATTTTCTTGCGGCGACCGGTGGTCCACACCCCGATCGGTAATGGATCTGTGACTCATCTTCCGGTAGCCCACCAGTGACCCAGTGAGGAAATGGGACTCATTTTGCAGTGCGCAAGTGTGGTATGGTCACCGGAGAATAGCCGAAAGGTCATCTGCCGGGAATCGGTCAATACTCGGACGATTAACCCAAGTCGTAAGGTGACCAACGGGAGTCCGGGCAAGCATCGAGCAGGCGCCGAGCGGATATGCTTCGTCGGACACCGGGAATGTTGGCGTGCCTGTTACGGAGTGTATATAATGGTGTAAATGGGATGAGCAGCATAGAATGTCTTCGGGATGCCTGTCCCTCCATACACACTGAGACTGGCCTGGCTCCGTATGCAGTACGCTAGAGCCCGACACCGTCACAACGTGATCCTGGCAGCGCTGGTACAGAACACGGTACAAAAACGGCGAACACGAACTATGATAAGCCGGGCACTGAGCGGGCTTTTTTTTATAGCGAGCAGGAAAACGAGCCGTGTTCATCTGGTTTACATCGGACGGGCACCGTCCGGGTATCGGGAGCTTACCGGCCGATTCCAGCCAGATGACCAGTCAATCACTGGACGGTATAAGCCTACCATTTTGTCCAAAATCCTTCGGGTATCTACCGATCATCTTTTGTTTTATGACTCCTGCACAGATGTGTCACAGAAACCATCGGTGAAACCCACCGACTCCCCTTCATCGTCCGGCGACCGTTGTATATGTGCCTGAGACATAAACTGCCGGCCTTTGTAGTATTTTGGAAGTGAATGTTTTCGTTTGACAAGAACTTCATGCCAGCAACCTGTGATAATCTGGAAACATGCTTTTAAGAGTTCGGCGTCTTTCAATTAATCATCTACAGTACACATATTATCGCTCCTTATGCGGCCGACACGTGGTGACCTCTTTTCAAACCGCTGTTTATTCTACTCCACGTCCTGACTGTGTGCTGCATGTTGATGACAATGTTGTTGTAACATAAATATTTTTTTCCAGTCCAGTCATCCATTATAAAGGACATTCGGAAGTGAAATTCCTTTCTTTTCGCAAAATTGTTCAACTGTCATAAATTATATTCATGGTCTTATCCAGTCTTATTCATATCCAGCAGAATGTCTCTTAGGATAGCTTGGTATTGTAGCTTGCTAACACATGTACTATTACAGGGGACGTATTGGTACAGTTCATGTTATGATTTTACAGATTAAAATATATAAATGTAGCAAAGAGGGTTCGGGTGATCCTGGCACAGTCAGGCTGGTTAGCTCATTATTAGCTCAGGGTCTTTGTCCCCTCAACACGCAGCCTAGACAGCGAATGGGGGACTTCTCCCAGGAAGCGCTGCGTAGTCCACCAAGAACCTTTCGGAGAATGTGAAGACTCCTTAACACTGCAGCCTTCTGAGGAATACATAACCATATTTTGGGTCGTACCATGGATGGACCTCAAAACGACAAGCATGCCGAAGACGATAATAGAAGGATCGACAGCTTCGAGTGGTAACTGGGAGTGGTCCTGAGCAGCGAACAGAAAGCTTTCTGTTTCACTTTTCAGGTCAGCTGATTTCATCCATGCAAGCATTATCTCTTTCTTCTTCTTCTTCTTCTTCTTCTCGCGAAGATAACTTTAATTATGTGTTGGCACGTCCGATAATATCAACATTTTGCCTAGCAGTCAATGTTCCTGAAATGGCAGGTCACTGATCCACTGTTAACGTCATCACAAGTCAATAGCGTCTGTGCCTTCCTTGAGAGTTGAAAACTGTCTTACATCTCCTGCCCATCAGACAAATCAGAGAACGGATCATTGAGTGGTGCCCCACTCTTTTTGAAAAGCTAGAGCCAGGTGTGGCAGAGT